CTACCACTTTAAGTGAGCTGACAGTGCTACACACGCAGACAGACTCTATTCAGCCACAGCTTCATGCTCTGGCGAATATGGAATAACTTGGTATTTACAAATCCAGTTTAAGCTGCGCCCTTTGTATAGTCCTTTGACTTTGCCAGTAACCTACCGAGGGAACGAGGGGAAGCTATGACAAGGAAGCAGGGCTAGACGTGAAAGACGTGCGCTGGATTTCCAGAATTGCCTCAAAAGATTCGTTATCCACCTCCAACGTGTACAGCTCCATCTCCTGAAGGTAGGGCAGCGTAACACCACCACAGGGTGGTGGCAGAGGAGGCAGCAGTCCCAGTAAGTTTATTCCCTACGAATAAAAGGGCGTCGTTCAGCTTGTTCGCTCTAGCTGGCCTGCCGTGAAAGTAAGTACCTATATTCAGATAGGTTATAAAGAAGGCGCGAGTTTGATTTCCAGTTGATTTGATGACACACGTACAATCAAGAGAAATGATGTTGTGTTTCTCAGCCTAGTAGCTTAGTGAAATTAATTGTGTTTTCCCTAGTGGAAATTCGTACATAAAATAAGTTAAGTTCTACTAAATTGCTTTTCAGGAAATGTTGGTTTATCTCTGCTTTTGCCAAAGATCCAAGCAGTGAGCCAGCTCACTCCTTGGGAATAGGAGTAGGAGCAAGCTTCGGAAAGACGGGGAGTTTCATTCCGGGAGTTTTGATTCTCTGGTTGCAAAATGGGAGCCAAGTGCTGCGTCTGTACAGGTGGTGGTGGTGGTATTTTGACGTTTCAGTGAAACCTGGCGCAGTTGGACGCTTGCGCTCGGTCAGACAGTCTCCATCTTCTGACTGCTCCAGCTTACGTGTAACTTGGCAATTAAGAGACCAGAACATCTCTTGTAAAAATGTCTGTGAAAAGTCGTGCTTCAGCTATGCCGGAAAAGCTAGCGTAGAAAGACAGCTTACTGCCATTTTCCTGTTAGCCTGCATCTACCTAAGCTGTTTTCTGCTGGTCCGGGTGGGCCAGCGATGCTCTTCTCTCCACCGTAACTCGAACGTCACTGTCGCTCTGAACTGCGGACCTACTTTTAAATGAAGTAATACTCCGGTGGGAAAAGTTAATTACCGTTTTGCTGTCGAGTTGCTGCAGCTAACTCCACCAGTGCGAGAGTCTCCAGAGGTAAATTCAGTTACAAACGGGAGGCGGTCAGGGTTCACAGGACTAATGGCATAAAAAGATGCAAATAAGTGAAAAATGTACGGGCCTGTTCAAGGGGTTTAGGCCTCGATTTCCCAGATGGCGAATACTTTGTCTGTTAAGACGGTGCTGGAATCTGAACGGCAGTTCTGGGCTGGTGTCTGTCTAACTGTCCCCAGTGAGGTGTTAGGGGCAGGCCTTAAGAACCTAAGCGATGAACAACCCTGCGGTTCAGAGGCTGTAACCGATGAGCATCTGCTGCTCAGTTGTGGTAGAATAACCCTGGCAATGCGCCTTTTTGTTTGTTTGTTTGTTTGTTTGAAATACGGAACTTGACCAAGTGAGCAGGGGGACTAAGGGTCCCCAGGTACGGCTCCCGTTCAGCCTGCCCCAGCACCCACTGGGTTTGGAGCCCAGCACCGCCCATCGCTACGAGAATCACGCTTCTGTTCCGGCCTTTCTTACCAAGACAGACGGATCTTGCCCTAGAATCTCCTCCCCTTCCCCAGGGAGTACGTCCCCGTGTTCGCCCCAGCCTCGCCCAGTAGCCGGGAAAGCCGTTACACAGGCAAACCCAGAGCGTTTCTGTCCAGGGTAAGCGTTTTCTGCGTTTTCCTTTGTTCCGGCTTCGCCGTTAGCAAGAGAGGAGTTACTTTGGTTGACCCTCACGTTAACCTCGCTGGAGTACTCGGGAGGATTTGGGGTATTTTCCCCGTGCGGGGAAGGAACCTTTGAAGTAGTTGGCACTGACAGAGACAGGTCTGACTGGGACGACTCCTGTTTTTGGAAGCAGCTGTGAATCAACAGCAACTTGCTGGTACGGTTAAGGCGTCAGACTACCCCCCCCCCCAGTGCCACCGTGTAAAAATCTGGAGCTTTTCTAATTCGTTGTCCCATTTTGCTCTTCTGCCTCTCTTTATTTTAATATTAATGTAGTATTTCCACAGAAACTTTCTCAGCTGAAGCTGTGAGGAAAAACTTTCTGAAAGATTGCGTTAGTGTAAAGGTAAGCACAATCAAGCCTTGGTGGGGCCCGTTCTAAGGCTTAGGGGTTGGCAAAGCAATAAAGATACCCAAACTGTGGCACAGAGCTATTTTTGAACCTTAAAGGGATGTCTGAGGCGTTACCGTGGAATCATAACTTAATCTATAGAAAGGGAATTTTTTTAAAGAGAACGTTTCCAAGAGGTTATATTTGAAATATTTATTCAAGCACGATGTTCCTGTTGAAGCTTAGTATTCCCAGTGACCCATGTAAAGAGTTTGTAGATATATTTAAAGTCTGAGCATTAGTACCTGTAGCCAGGGAAACTTTTGTACTCCATGAATGTACGGAAGTGAGTTACTCGTATGAACTGTTCTTATTAAAATATTGAAACCCTTCCAGTGACTTCATGACCGTGTTCCTATACCCTCCACGTAATGCACAGTCGCCTGTCGCCGTGAAGGCACTAGGACTGGGGTAAGTCCTAACTCGGCTCTGCTGCGGGCCTGAAGCTGGCGGGCGCCGCTCTCGTTCCCCAGGCCCTGCAAGAGCTGCCCGGGAGGGACAATACAGCACTGTGAAAGCCTGGGCTAGACCTTTCCTCTCCCCGAGTCGGGATCAGTTTCTTGGAGCTTACCTTTAGCTGGGCGTTAAGAAACGTGCCTGAAAAAATAGGAAATGCGACACGCTGGGACATTCCGGTTTCCTCCAGATGACGCGTTGCACGACAAGCGCTCAAGTGGCGTGAGAGTCACTGTAAAATGGTCAGCCAGTGCTTTCCTATACGAGTATTCACCCTTAGGACGTACCTCAACCGGTCACCACACTAACTGAAAGGAAGCGCTGTGCACGCTGGCTTTTAGCATCACCACACCCCGCAGCTTTACGCAGGCTCTAGCTTTAGCCTGCCTTCTGCATTTTCCGGGAAAGAACGCTTCTCACCGCTTACGTTCATCATTTTCACTTTATTCATGTACGGATTCACACAAAACATTATATTCTTGCTAAGGCCATGTCGTTAACAAGTTTTCATAGAACAGAGTTGTGTACTGGGGGGGGAAATACAGCAGAGTGGCAGACCGTCACTTTAGAACTGTCACAATTGACCACTGGTACACTGGAGGACATGCTGTAGCCTAGTCATACAGACCTAACATTGGTATTGGAATGGTTTTACTCCGGAGCACAGTAACAGACCCCACGGGGTACGGTCTTCGGGTCCGCCAGCTCCATACGCATCTTATCACAACCGTGCGTAATGCCGACAACTGGAAAAGTGAGCACAAAATAGGCGGAGAATACTCGCCTGGGTTGCGCGCGACGCTAGGCAAGGCAAACCTCACGGCCCGTGCCGCCTCAGCACCCCACACCAAGGCTCCAAAGGAGGTGGATACAAGTCACGACAAACCCATCAATACGGCAGGTCTTTGCTCGCTAAGGAAACACGCTAAGCAAACAGAAAGGGTTCCAAGCCCATCCTTTTAACGCAGGGTCAGTTCGGCGGCACTCACATCTTCGGGCCCCCCTGTCCAAAACGAGAGCACATCTGCAGCCAGGCCAAGCTTGTAGCGACAGGATTACCCGCCTACCCTGCTAGCCGCGTCCTGAGCCCAGCGTTTTCTCTGCCCAGCGGAGGTGGCACGAGCACGCGAAGGACTCCGGCACAGGGACGGGACGCCCTCGGAAAACGTCAGTCGGTCCTCGTTTCTATGAGCTGAGGTGTGCGCCTGCCCCTCGGAGCGCCTCGGGGGGGAGACAGACCAGGACCACGCGCTAAACGGAATTTAAAGCATTTCTTCGCGGAAAGACACAGGGTGGTCTAAGTTAAAGCGACGGTTTTGTTGCGGACAGAGGTTGATCGTGAGCAGCAGCCTTACAAACGCATCCGAGGAGTGAAGAAACCGAAGCTGCTTGGAAGAACGAGCATCGTCCGTCCGGGCTTTTTTAATGCACTCGCCTTGCCAGTTCTGCACAGCCCACGGGCCTTTTCTGTCAAGTTAGGATGCACAGAACAGTCTACAGAAAATAAGTGACGGGTGAGACAAAATAAGTAATTTGGCATGTACCAGGAGTTTCTTGGTTTTCTTTTTCCTAAGTCGGTGGTAGAGATAAAGTACCACTGTAACAGAACTAAACCCCTTAGACCAAGAAGCCAAACTCTGTTCTACTCAAATGAACACCTCGATTAAAAACAAACTGAAGAGAAGTGCGAAAGCCGGCATTTTGGCTGCCAGAATACGAGCGGAGACGATCGCTTCATCGAGAGAAACAAGGGGCAGAGTCCGTGCTGGGTGGCAGTGCCTGCCGAAGCCGCTTGCTGGGGGCTACCGCCACGTTCCTGCTCCGGCGGTGGAAGAGGGCCCACTTAAACAGCGGTTGTGCCAAACAAAGCGATTAATTAATTACTTTTTCATTCTTTACACATCACAGTGTTGCAGCTGAAAATCACTTCACGACAGAGAAACACCGCGTCACGACTCCCGCTGGCAAATTGCATAGGCGCCCAAGTCCTTCTTAAGGGCGACACGTGAGATCATAGGTGGCTTAATCATCTCTAGTTAAACAAAGCACTGCGCGGAAGAGCCCTGGTTGCAGACATTTTAAAACACATTTCTAAAATAACCGCGGGAATCGTTAAACGTGTCTACGGCTTTCCAAAGCAAGCTCGATTTCTTCTGTCACCCAGACAACTACAACAAGGTTTCTGCGTAACGTCAAGGCTCAGCCAACGAGTGACGCGCCAACAGCAAAGAGGCCGGAAAGTAACGGGTATCGCCCGGCGCACACAAAAGACCTGTAGTAGAGACAGCAGCAGGAGTTCACGTAAATGAAAAGTTAGAAAAATAGATTATTACTTGGGTCAAGTCACCTCGGGGTAGGAGGGATGGGATGCACCACAAAATAAAGTAAGTGGAAAAATAGATCCAAGAAAATATAGAAGAACCTTACATTTTATATTTAGATCTGAAATACAAAATACACCATTAACCAGGTCTACTCGCGACGACTGTCCGGAGGGCTGGCACCCATCTAAGCAGTCCCGTCCCCTCGCGTGTAATGCTTTCAGCACTAGGTCGTTGTCTGTTCCGTACTTATACGTGCACACATGTATCTGTATAGGATGTATACACACACATGCATACTGTATACGAGAGTCACAAAGCCTTTCATTTCAAAGCACCATTAAAAAAGCTCAATCATTTAAAAACAAAAAAAACCCCAAACAAACCCAAAACCAAGGTCCACGTGTATCTGACAGAGGTCCATGTAGAAACAGAAAACGGTAACGATACAGCGACAGCTCAGAAGCAATTATTCGCACTGTACTGGCGTGGACAAAATACCTACATGCTGGAATCAACGGTACCGAGCCTTAGGACAGAACAGCGGGGAAAAAACAGTAGTTGGAAGTGCCGACTTTGGGTTCACAGCTAACAAAACCAAGAAAGGGTTTCTGCCAGAAGTGCTGCTTTCACCTCGGAACGATCTGCCAGTGATACCCAGAGCATCGCTGCTCATCTGCCCACGTTGTCACGACAAAGAGCGGGATAGTAAAGAAACACACAAGTCACTGGATTCGGAAGCAACAAAATAAAGCTAGATATTTCACCACGTATCCCACAGTGGTCCTCGGCTGTAACACAAGAACAGATTACTTAGGCTGCATGCCACAAACACCACGAACGATTCACTTCAGGTCCCCATCCCCTTCTCCTTGGATTGACTTTTTGATGCGAAGCAACATGGTTGTAAGCCACTGATCCAGCCGCGATATTGAATCGAATTCTTTAACCTATTAGGAAGAAAAAACAAACAACGGCTTAAACTCAGATATTAGAAAGCAAACGAGACTGCTGCGAAAGCAGCTCTCTGCAGCTCTTCTAGTACGGTCTTTTGAAACTTCTAGTCTTCCCAGAGAAAAAAATAAAGTAAAATAAAATAAAAGGTATCTATCTATCTATCCAAAAAACACACAGAGCACTTTAAGCCGCTGTCGAACACCGAAAGGGGCTGGAGCAAAACCAGGCAGGATCTTTACTTAACTCTCAATGATAGCCTAGTAATTTTAAAGTATTAAGTTCGGGACTTGCTAGAGCACGGGCTGGAAGCAGCTCTGCTAACGTCCATCTCTCCTGCGGGTTGTTTCGTGGCAGGATGGTTAAGCAGCGAAGCGCCCCGTGTTCTGCCCCGCCGGACTCGGTCGCAGCGCTCGGAGCTCGGGCAACCGGTTACCCAACGTTTAACAGCGCGCACGCACCCCAGAAAGGTAAAAAAGGAACAACCCGCCACCCACGAGCGCACCTTAGCGAATTCACGACTACTTACTGCCTCGGTGTATGCCTCGCAGTTCTGCTCCTCGTGGGCTTCCAGCAGTTTCTAGGAGAACACCGTTAAGAATCAGAAAATATCAGAAAATACTCTGTTACTGCGTGTTCCCACAGGGCCGGTGCGCCGGCCTCTCGTCCCCAGGAGAGAGGGGACCTCTGCACCCGCGCTGCCGGGCACCCGCGTGTCCAGCAGCGGCACCTTCGCAACCCATTCAAACCACCCGCCACGAGCGCAGAAATAGTCTGTTGGGTTGGGGTTTTTTTTTAAGTTAGCTAGAATAACCATCTTTCTGCTGCAGCTACTTCCACAAGTCTGGTACAAACCCAATGCAAAGCGAGTCCCGTGTCCTCTAAAAGGTTCGAATAAATGACCAGATCTACGGCAAGGTGAAGCGGCACAAAGTGAAGGGCGGTATGCATTTTCAAGCCTGACTACTACTTTACTCCTGGCTTTACTCACTTTCAATAGCTTGCACTCCCGTGAATCCGTGAACGCTGGGAACATTTCTTCGTATTTCTCAAGTGCAAGCTGAAAGAGAGAAGACAACCCTTACGCTCGTTTCACGCAAAACTACTTGCTTTTTATTTCAGCTTTTTGCCTTCCACTCCTAAAACCGCGCAGAGAGCTTGGGGAAGTATTCACAGTAAAACCAAGAGCAAGTAGTCACAGTAAATCCAATCTGACGCTACGGCACTTCGAGCTTCAGCCCGTGCAACAGCCACGCAAATCCCTGTGCATGCAAGAACGTGTCTCAGCCGGCAAAGGTGGATTAAGAGGGGTGCAGAAAGTTCGGGATAACCGCTCTGAGCCCACTGACCTTCGCGTTCAGCTCATCCACGATGAAGTGGCACAGAGCGGCTTTGAAGAAATACTCTTTCGCGCTATACTTGAGCAAAGGATTATCCATCGTGTTTGTTCCGACCTAGGCGCAAAAAGATGTTACTAGAGAAAGAAAACCGCATCCTGAAGAACTGAATTAAAAACAGGACAGCTGATCAAAGTGACACACAGCACCATAACGCGAATAAAGACCACGGAAAAAACGCCGGCGTCCGTACAAAAAGCTATTGGGAAAGCAGACAGATTTTTAACTACTCCCAAGCGAGGTCGGAAACCCGCACACGGCTGCGAGAGCGCGCCCACGCAGCCCGTCCGCCCGGGGAGCCCCAGTGCACCGGTTCAGGGGCGCCACACCGCTACCTCAGTATGTCCTGTCCGCCCCGCAGACAGGGGAAGGCAAGTCGACTCGGTGAGGACCTGCTCCAATATTAACCCTCCGGAAGCACAAAAGCAGCGCTGCAAGTATTCCCAGGTAAATACCCCGTAGAAAGGCAGAGCAATCCAAGTTTACAAATTTCGGGGGAAATTTTCTGCCAAACGTATTTGTAAACACGATCAGAAGTGTAATTACAGATTTCCTTCCCCCAGCCTTTCTCTAGAAACAATAGAATTCAGGGGGGAAAAAAGCCTTTGGTAAGTTATAGCAACTCTTAAAAGCAAAGGAGCAAACCACGTCTCATAAAGGCATAATCAGCCCCGAAATACGTAAGATTAGGAGCTTCTAGGCCACGGCAATTTTGCGAGACCGACACACTGACCCACTTTCCATTTTCAAGAAATTTTCGGCTGAGGATTTTCTCTAATTCGCATCTCTCACCCGATCTGCAGCACCATTTAAACAAGAAAACCTTCCACCCCCGACCGGACCTGAAAACGTCCCACATGTAGGAGAGGGTCCTTAAAAATCTAGCTGCGGCTAGCTCGGTCCTACAGCAGAAAACTCATCGCGTCCCCACCGCCGAGACTGCCGTAACTGCCCCGATGCCAGCGCAAGGGACAGGAGCTCAGCCGCCGAGGGACGGCCACGGCCAGCAGACCAGCAGCACGGCGCAGGCGCTGGCAGCCAGGCTGCCCCAGCCCCGTCGGACAAGCGCGCATCCTCACCTGCTCGTAGATTTCGATCGCCTTCTGGTACTGCTCCAGCTGCGCGGCGTAGGCAGCCACCTTCAGCAGACACTTGTTGGCTGAGCTACAATCAATTACAATTTACAATTTAAGTTAATTGTGTCCTGGGGAAGAAAAATAAAATCCATACCCTGGTTCCTCCAAGCACGACCTGTACTACTTAGCGTATATACAAGTGGGACCCAAAAGCTGCGAATCAGGGGAATTTTCTTTTTAACAGCCAAAATTAAAACACACGGAAAGGCACAAAGACCTTCAGCTCAGCACAGACCTGCTGTCAGACACCGTTCCATCCCTCCGTGCTTCCTCTGCACCCAAAAGGGGCACCCCAAACCAGACGAGCCCGCGTGCGGGATGAGAACCTTAAACAGAAATCTAAGCAGGACTCGGGCATCCCACCAAGGGACATTTTAGAAGAGGCTGGCAGGCGAGCCGTGCAAGCGCGTGGGCCTTCTAGGACAAATCCCCGTCTCCAGCCCTTCCCTGTCGTGACTCTTTTACAAAGACCACTTGCCTGTTAGACTCCTCTCCTTTGTAATAGTCTGCAGCCTGCTCGTAGTGTGCGATCGCCTGGGGACAGAAACATCGCGCTTGAATGCCGCTTCTAAAGTACAGTTTTTGGTCAGACCAGCGTACAGCCCACCGCATTCACAAAAACCTGCCCGCTCTGCGCACAAAGGGAGCGGCGGCACGGCACGCTGCGGGGTTTCTGGTGGGGCGAGGCGCCGCCGGCGCATCCCCTGCGCGCTCAAAACACGAGGCTGCCCTTGGAAATGTGACCCCGAACTCGTTAAGAGCCCCGAACTCCGGAGCAGGTTTAATACAGGCGACGCTACTCTTGAGGTAATGACTACAAACACTTGTCATCACAGCGCGGCAGAGCTCCTGCCAGGTTTGCCACCACGCAATAAATCGCCAACCGGAACAGCCCTGACGTAGCAGGGCTTGACTGAAGCGGGGCTGCACGTGGAGAGGCAACGTTGAAGTCATTAACAGAGACAGACAGGATCCAGTGAAGCGGAGCTGAGGAAGGAAACGATTGTCTAGCAAATAATATCTAGAAACCATACATTTTTGTTCTGCAAACTTTGAGCAGAAGACTTGCAGCCGGTTGAGCTGCTGCAGGATTCCTGCTCAGGGACCTCGGTGATGGGAACGAGAGAGGGTCAGTGCTGAAGTGTGAACTAAAAGTAACAGCAGCTTCCTTTGGGTGCGTCAGAAAATAGCTGTAAAACTGCCCCCACCGCTTCTCCAAAGTGCTTTTCAGATGTGAAACACCACTTCAGCCGAGAAGGTTTCTCACCCGGGCGTTTCTGCCAGCCCTGCCTTGCTGCCGCTCAGCAGAGGGGCACACGAGAGAGTCAGGATCGCCCCGCGAGAGACCCGTGCCGGGAAAATCATCGCTCACCCCATTAACGCTAACTTCAAGTTACGGCTGACTTGCACCGACATAAAGAAGCCTGGGGCCGGATGGGAGACGGGTTTTATCGGCCGCGCCGAGCTCGGCGCTGCTCTGGCCGGGGAAGGCAATGCAGGCGCCGCC